ATGGTTAACCTTATTGCTTGATTTGCTATACTATATATGCTGCTTTCTGTTCTCGTTTGTCGCAAATCAGCTATCGCTCGCCTCCAAAACTGACATTATATTCCAGTTGCGCTTACCCCGAATATAAAGGAAGATATCTGACCATGTTTTAGATTGATAAATTAAATAAAATGATAGTAGGCTTTGCGTAACAAAATAAAAAATAATAATTTCATTATTTAATTGGTCTTTAGTTAAGATGCATATAAACAAGCCAGCCAAGTACTATAATAATAGTTCAATTTAAGCATCAAGTGAAATTTATTCACAATGTTGGAAGGGATTAGCGGTCGTCTCCTTTCACATTTGTATAATCCTTTAAAATTGAATTTTTTGTCATATTTTTAATGTTTGCCGGCCCTTCAAAACTTACATAAGTCAAGTTATGAATACCATTTCTTTTTTCCATATAAATAGTTATAATTAAAAAAAAAATACATAATAATTTTTCTCCCTTTTAAAAAAATTTCGGTCTCAGCCATTATTTGTTCGGTAAAGCTTTTGCGTTATTGTCATTAACTCATTATTCGTATTACCAAAAAGACGTAAAAAATAGTAATTACTTCGAGTTAGATTCGAATTCAAAATTAAGTGATTACGGAAAAGGTGTCATTTGAAAGCTTTTTCATTATTTATCAACCCTACGTGAGTACCACATCGGTCACTTCCTATTAGATCTCAGTCATATATAGTTTTATATTTATATAATCCTAAATCTGTCTATATTCATTTGTCAAACCAACTATGCAAAGTATGTAGGGTTTGCATACTCCAACTTGTCGCCGACACTATCAATACTTTTATTATTATTTTTTGTAATCATGGCGTTGATCAATCGTAATCTTTGTAGTTTGTACCTTATGACCTCTTTTATTCTCATCCACTGAGCTATAGTCCACTTCGTCATAGATTGTTCTTCTTTCCATGTTTTTTTTTTTTTTTCATTATTTTATGAGCCACTTGAATGACTCTTTCCATAGTTTAAAGGGTATGATACTTTATGGAGCTTGAGTCCGTCTGAAACAAAGACATTAGATGGTGGTATACCCGAGACTAGAGGGGCCTCCTCTCGTAGTCCACTTTCTACACGCCCCATTACAATGATATGTGATCGTTTGCTGTGTACAACTATGCCATTCATGGTAGAAAGTATCGTGCAAAATGAGTGAACCATGGTTTCTCTACTTGATATTCGGATATTGTTTGTGAGAGGCATTATCGTTTAGGAAATGTCTTGGTGCATTTTTATTTTATAGAATGATAGCATTGAGATTCGAACATATGCAAATTATCCAAATCTCTTGTTATTAAATCAATCCTAATGGGTTTATCTTGTGCATTTTAATGGCTAATGAATGCATTACCAGGCAGCTGAAGTAGAGGAACGTGTAACTACTACTCCCCAACCATAAGGCCATTATGAAGAAGACATGCTCTTTGTAATTTCTGTTTGTGGTATGGGCTCACATTTTTATTGCCAAGGGTTGGTTTTGGTTGTTGAAAACTTGAATTCCACTTTTGCAAGAATATCTCAAATATGAATTATGAGATAGAGACAATGTCAACAAACTATCACAATGTACACAATATTAATGAAAGTCTACCTTCACTCAAAGTTTCAAACTTAGTAATCGATGACATGCTAGTAAGTTTATATTGGTGCTTTCAGTTTACATCAACAGTAACTGCTAATTCCAAAGGCGGATCCGTAGTAGCAAAATTAAATCTTTTTGTTATATAACCTACTTCAAACTGACAAGGACTAAGGTGCCATTCTCCATAAACACATCGTGGAAAAGCTAATATTAGTTAATTAACGATTTTTATTTTTTTTTGTAAATATTCCAATCGGTTCATTGCTTCGCAACTAATCCAATTCGAGGTGGGTCTAAGATTAAGACTTTAAACCCCTCCCAAAGATGATACTGGGAAGATTCGAATACATGCTCTCACCCCACCTGCTTAGCTCTCACCCCACCTGCTTAGCTCTCATGCGCCAACTGAGCTACTATCATTTGATGTTAATTAACGATTATAGTACCACTTCTAGATGTCTCATAATTAACTTGCACTTAAAAAGTACCGGTACCAAAATTATTGCTAAGAAAGCACTTAATTAATTGCCTTTAAAAATTACAATTAGTTTTTTTTAAGAATTATTTGATGATTACATGCAGGAACTTTTTTCCCTGCATATCATTTGAGAACATTTTTGTACAAATTTTGGGAGGTCTACCATTACTCTATTGATCAATTATGGTCTTATTGTTATCCATTTAGACACTTCTCCCATCACAGAAAAAGCAGACAAGTAACTATGCATCAGTTAATGATAATTAGATGTATGAAGTCAAGGAAAGGATTACATAAAGTATGAAGCATGCTCGTCTTCCACATATAATATTATACTACATATGATCTAAGGTAGATGAAGATACACAAAATCCAAAAGTAAAAAGACAGCAAAACAAGAAGCAAGATCTGGTAGCCAATTCCCTTGTGTTTCATTTAGTGCAATCTTCTGTGCGTTCGGGGGTTCAACATAAAAGAACAACTTTGTCAGCTGCAAGAACTAGGAATGCGCAAAAATACGAAAAAAAACTGGTTCACTTACTCTTCTCTTTTCTAACCTTGACCTTATCCATAAATATTTATTTTTTTTAACTGGATTTAGATTTTGATCCACTTTTATTTGGGTCAGATTTAGACCTGACTTATTTTAATAATTAACTCATTGACCCAAAACTTGACCCACATCCATTATGTGGAAAAAAAAAAAGAAAACAAAAAATCACAATTGTAGTTTTCATTTTTTTAGGGTTCTCTCTTATCTCTGTCAACATTCTTCCACTCCACCGAAGATTTCATTTCCTTCTCAAACAATGGCGTCGCTGTAATTGAGGTTGATTTCTTGCATCTTTGCAAATCGATCTTCTCTGTTCCCTTTCGAATTTTCACGTTTCCTAGCTCTCGCTCTTCTTGTTTTCATTTTTTCTACTTCATAAATCGTGACAACGCTCAACTATCATCCATCGAATTTGAGAGAGTTTTAGTGTTTGATCGCCATAATATTGCATTTTAATTTGCTCAACTCTTTTCGTGATGCATTTTGGTGTTTGGTCTGAACGCTAATCTTTAGTGTGTCTACCAATCCCTACCTATCATGTATTTTGTGGTGCAGATGAGAAGATTATATATAAATCGCAGATCATATAAAATTTTAAAAAATTATGCTTATTTAGCATTTAAGATTTTTTTTGGATAAAATATGGTATTTGAATTTTAAAATTAAATAATTTTTTTTTGTTAAAAAAATTACATTCCTTTATTTATTCAACAAATATCAAATTTATTATATAATTTGTATATTTTAAAATAAATAAATAATTAAATTACATGAGTTTAAAAATTGAATCAATAATTATATAAAAAAAATAAATCAAAAATATGTTTTGAAACCAAGAAAAAAATAAGTCAGGTCGGATTTGACCCGATTTTGAAACTAACTCAGACCTACTTCAGAAACCAAATCAGATCAGATCCGACCCGGTTCTGAACTAGTTCAAAAAATTCAAACTAGATCAGACTTGACTTGGATAAAATTAAATCGGGTCGAGTCAAAATACCTGACCCTATAAAAAAAACAAGTTGGGTCGGGTCAGCATAAAACTCAACCTGACCTGACTCATGCACATCCCTAGTAAGAACGCAACTCTGCATATACCACTGGCTTCCAAATCTCTATTTCCTTAGTAGACTGCTTTGCTGGATTAATTTTATTCTCTTATAACACAGCAGAGGTTGTAACATGTTCCTGCAAGGAATGGCAGTTCCAGAAAATTAATGAAGGGTGGGCACTCAATAAGTTGTAGTACATATAGACTTGGGTGTGGTCTGAAACGCGACTTGCGAGCAGCTGTCGGCTGGCTGGGTCTGGTTTAGATCTAGATCTGGACGGATTACGACTCAACTGGACTGATGATGGACGAAGAAGCAAATGGTACAACTTCCAATAACGGAGATTGAGGTTTGAGAGGAGATGAATCAATATGTAGATACAAACGATGGGTCTGGGATAGAGTTTGGAAAATGAAGGTGGAGGAGAAAAAAAACTCACGGAAAAATAAAATAGAAGGAGGAAAATTAAAGGGTAAGATATCATAACAACCAACTAGGGTTACAATATTCTACCTCAAAATTAAATTGGGAAAACTTAAATTTTAAGAGTAGTATTTTTTTATCATATTTCAAAGGTGGGCATTTGCCCCCTTCTCATGAAGCTAGATCCGCCTCTGACTGCAAGTCAGGCTATCGACAGTTACCAGATGGTAACCCTTTTTCTTTTGGGAGGTATGCCACCTTAATCAAGCCTATAGATAGCCCTTTCTATGGCCTTAACTTTAAATGAAAGCACCAATTGTTACGAACCTCGAGATTATCATCCCAAAAGCTAGCTCAAAATGTGAGAGGGCCCAAGGCTTTATAAACTCCACATTAGTTATATAGAGAACATATGTGGGACTTGTAACATTGTCACCCTCTTTAACAGCTGATGTCTACTGCGGCTTTCATTCGTATGACACCTTAATCTAGCCTATATAGATAGCCCTTTTCCGTGACCTCAACTCTCAACGAGAACACCTGTTGTTACGAACCTTGAGGTCACATCCGAAAAAGTAACTCAAAATGTGGGAATATCCAAAACCTTATAAACCTTACGTTAATTGTTTAAACAAATCAATGTAAGACTTTCTCACCCTCTTTCAAAAGTCAACATCCACAGCAATTTTCACTTTATCCTAATTGACACGGTGGTAACACAATAATGGTATTAATAAATTAATAGACACCGCTTCCATTCATGAGGTAACACAATGTAATATACACACTCACAGAAGACAAGCACATACATATCTAAATAAAACCATTTATTTTTATTAAAAAACCGTTACATTACTTGAAATTAAAAAACCATTTATTAGTGAGAAGCGAACAGACCCGCAGCTTTCCTCTTAATCAACAATGTTCCAGGTCATGTCATTCTCAAAGATCCAGTGGCACACTTCAATCCGACCCGGACCCGATCCAAGAGCCAAGAATGCACCATGGGTGGGGCTCCAAGCACTTGTGTCCAAGTGACAAATGGCAACACCGTGGTTAATCTTTGCCTTTGATTCCGGGTCCAAAAGATCCGCTTCGTAGACCCGAACTTTGGGAACCGAGTGGCAGTAGTATAACAAATAAGGGAACAAGCTCTGGTGGCACGATACAGATTGTGTGACCTTCCCACCGTTTATCCCCTCAACCCGACCCACCATCACATTCTTCTTCGACCCATTTACACTCTCGGTGCTTCGAACCGCAACATTGCGACCCAGAACAGAGGTTGCAAAGTCAATCATGTCCTCCACCGAACCCACACAACGCTTGTTTTCGCCTCGGCTCGGTGCCCTCTCGCACTCACCCAACGAATCCATTATCATTTTGTCCAAAGAGGAGTTGTCCGAGACCTTGAACACGCTCTTCAACTCCGCGATTTTCGAAGACGAGAAGGGCAATTTTGACAAAATGGATCGGGGCAAAAACGACCTTTTGGGCAATTTATCTGTTATATCAGGCATGGGCATGATAGTGCCTTGCTTAAGCATCCTCTCTCGAAAGAACTTGCCCGGTTCAACCCACTTTTTTACCAAACTGCCACTGGATGAGGAGGAGACGGAGTTATTGTAGCTGGCGAACGAGACACCATGTTTGGAGTATTCCTTGAAGGTGTTATTAACGCCGTAACCTTTAAACCCAACCTTTTGATTCGCGCTTGCTCCTTTGGCGTAACCTTTGAAGGTGTCGGTTCCTTCATTGGACGATTTCCCATAGTTTTTGAAATTGACATTTGACCCAAACGACTCCTTAGCATAGGATTGGAATGAGTCAGCACCAACATTGGCCTGGTCCCTATAGTTAGCGAAGCTCTCTTTGGCTTCATAGCCTCCTTCTGCGTAGTTCTTGAAGTTAACGGTTGGGTTGTTCATGTTAACGCCGTAATTGGTGAACGTGTCATTAAGATAAGTCCCTTTCTCGGCATAGTTCGTGAAACCAGACTGAACAACGTTGGAGTCTGTCCCGTAGCTTGTGAAATCGTTCGCAGCATCATTGCCTTTCTTTGTGTAGCTTGTGAAACTCTGTTCCCCTGCGTTACCGTCCTCGCTGTAGCTTGAGAACGATTGCTTCCTCCCTAGGGTTCCTTCGGAGTAGGTGGAGAATCGGAGGTCAGGGACATTTCCTTGGTTCGTGTATTGTTTGAACTCGCCGGAGCCGCCGGCGGTGTTGGTGCCGTAGGTGTTGAAACTCTGGTCCACCACGTTGTTATCGATGGCGTAGCTTGTGAAACTGTCGTTGTGGCCGGCGGAGTTGCGGCTGTATCGCCTGAAATCGTTCACTGAGTTACTAAAATCGTTGGAGTAGTTCTTGAACGAGTCGACTCCGCCGGGTCGCCTCGTTCCGTAGTTGGTGAAGTTCTGGGCGTCGTTGTACACTGCGAAGTTGGCATCCTTTGTGTGTTTCTGCAAGCTGGATCTCACGTCCGGGAAGCAGAGGAGGTGCGCGGCGGAGCAGAATTCCGGCAGCCGCGTGGAGAGGGTGTTGTTGGCTGCGAGTTTGGCGAAAGTCGCCGAGTCCACAGCGCTTAGTGGCGACGCCTTGGAGAGAAGGAACGATGGCTTTGGCAATTTGTTGAGGACCTGTTTGTCCCAATAGCGAATCGCGAAAGCCTTTGGTGTGAACGGGTTTTTATCTCCTGCTTCGCTGGCGAAAGCAACCTGCAGGATAATAATAAAATCTTATAATAAATAAACGGTGATGAGAATGTTATACATGCATGACAATATGATCAAGAATTAGCATTGAAACAATGAGAGTAAAGAAAAGAAGAAGAAAATGTGCTTACGCTGAGTGAAGTGAAAAGGATAAAGAGAAAGAGGGTGCTCATGTGGCTGAGTGGATTATGCATATATTGAGAGAAGTAAGAGAAGCGGAGAACGAGGGAGAGGGTTGAGAATGTAAGGTTATGTTGCGTTGTGTGCAGATATTTATAGGAGTTGTGGAGAACTGTTAGCTACAGTGAACAGTGACTATGCTAATGCAAAAAACATAATGAACGGTGTAGTTTGGCAACCGCTTGAGTAGAGTTGGATATTCAATTGCATTCAAATATATTGTTTTTGGGTGAGATAAAAAAAACTTTAATTGCTAGTAAGTTTCAACTTGAACTTAGTTTCGTAACCGACTCAAAGAGTTAAAATTTATAGATATAATCGAGGTCCTCGCTCAAAGAGATAAGTAGGCGAAAGAGAGCACCACATCAGCTGCTATTGTATGGGAGAGAAAAAAAAAAAAATTCTGTATTTTATATTATGTATTACCCATAAATATATAGTATAAATATAGAGTTGGGCCTTCAAGAATAGGATTGGGCCTTCAATCTTTATATTACACAATACAGCAACGTGAAAAATTACACAATTTTGAGTAGGACAGCTTTTGATGGGGCTGGTTGGGTTCCTGAACAAATTCACTAAGCTTATGTATGATGAGAAAAAGGTTCCCTTTTACAGAATTTGTGCTCTCTTTTACTTTCCTTCATGAGTGTCTCCACTTTAGCTTTACTATCAGAACAAACAATTAAAGCTTTAGCCATGTTCAATTCTTTTTCTGCAACCAAAAGGCCTTCTATTGGGTTAATGCCCTCCTCATTTACTTTAAAAAAACAAAACAAAAAAAGCCCCTTCTATTGAATTAAAAAAGGGCGTTGTCACATATGATTTGTGTTTTTTACAAAGAAAATTGAACAAGGAGATCAGTAATCCCTTCTTTCCGTAGAAAATTCACTTTTTGATTTATTGTAAGAACTTTGTCAGAAAAACTTTAATTTTTCAGTCTTTGTCCAAGTTTTTAATTATGAGTGCAACCAAAAGCACGCCTCTCATGGGATTCCAAGTAGGTGACTAATGTAATATAACCAGTCATTAATATTTATCATCCACCAAATGGTTAATAGAACAAGTACTTAAACACTGATCAGTTAAACAAGTTGACCTTTTAATCTAATACACACGCAGACGCAGCTAGTAATTACCACAAAACATCACTAGCACTAGCTTAGGACAAACACAAAGAAATTACCTAAGTGTATAAAGCATTGTTACAATTAGCCATTAACACAATTTCTCTCTCACAGTATTTTTATCATGCTTTTTTACTATATAGTTTTTCGATTTCCTAAAATATAAATTCCAGTACATTATTTTCCAAAATACATTCTTTTTCATTATGAAGTCGATTCATGCCAAATCAACTATCCAAATTGTTTTTATCCCCATCGTTCCCCCAAATTAATTTCTCAGCAGTTTTATTTTTATTTTGAAATGTAGGAAATCTGACGTTCTAACAGTGTTTCTTTTTTTAATAATGAAAATAATTTAAATTTTATAAAAATTTATTATTTGTAAATCAATATTTTTTCAAATTAATTGTTTTAAAATTGTTAAAATGACGTCTTGCGAAAGTGTTGACATGTTAATATCACAGCAATACTAGGGAGATACCCTAGTTAAAGATAAAATAAAATAAAATAAAAATCATCAAGGATGAACTTGTTTCAAAGTTTGTAATTTTTCATTTTCATAAATTGCGTTTCCAGATACAATTAGGAATGCTATTATTAGGTACCTTAATAAATATGTTTAGTTAGCATTTAAACTTTTTTAGAATTGCTTTTAATGCATATTCCCATGAATATATGTGATAATTTTAAAGGACATAATATATTAAGTATATTTAAATTTCCTTTTTTCATTAATTACTTATTCCTTCCCAAGTAGTTACATAATATGAAATAATTATAAGAATAATGGTTTTGTTAATGTGCACGGATATATGTTAACATATAAAAAAATTACATGATGAAAAATACAAATATTTTATACAGGAAAAATTTTAAAACGAAGAATAAATGCCATTTATATTCCTTATCTATACCAAAGCGCATGATAAAAAAATCCTCATAGTAAAACAAAAGAAATATCTTTGTCATAATAACAGAAACTTATGATCAAAGCTTTGATAAATGCAAGGTCCCCAATAGTGCAACCTCAGTAAATGCGAGTAGGTGATTGAAAATTTGAAATTGAGGTCACCGTTGATACATAAAGTTGTTTTACCTACTCATATATATGATATTATATATGTTCAATACTTCCATGGCATTACCTGCTAAGCTTTCTGCAATTATGATATTTTTATTATGACGATATATACGTTCAGGAACAGAGGGTTAAACCAAAATCATTACACTAACACTAAGACCCTCTGTCAAACAATATGGAATGGATCAAGTTCGATTCAATAATTCATCCAATGATTTATCTCTTTCTCTCACTTAAAATAATACAATTTTTTATCCTTCAAAAGGATACACATTTTTCCATATATATATATATATATATATATATATAGATAAGATTCTTTGATACTGGTGTCAAATTTAAAAAAAATTGACAACTTCATCTGAGAGCCATTAGATCAAAAAAGATCAATGATGTCACATGCTTACAAGTAAATAGATTATTCCCCTATATATATATATATATATGGGGCAGGATCATCTTACACCGGTGTAAGAATAATAAATCTTAATCATTGATTTTCTACATCTAACGGTTAAGATTTATTAGGTCTCACTCGTTAATTAATTTTTAATTTCCAATAAATCTCAACCATTGGATGCACAGAAATCAACGGTTAAGATTTGGTGTAAGATTTATTATTCTTATACTGGTGTAAGTTGATCCTATATATATATATATATATTATTGATTCCCACGCTCTCCATGCATATTGATTTTTTGTGTCCTTGCATAAAGCAAAACGAGCTTTAATAACATTTATGCAATTTAGTTCTCTTCATGAATACATTTAATATCTTTCCTAACTACCCGCCATAATATAATATCTCTGTCTCTCTCTGTCCCTGCTCCATTTTAGAAAATAGAAAACCCCACATAGCCTGATTCTTTCTTAACATTGTGCATTATTTAGGGGCCTTGAGGGATTCGGAGAATCATATCGTAAAATGACTTTAATTGGATGCAAGTAAAGGCGTGACAAAATTAGTGAAAGCAAAAAGAAATAAATTTAACAAGATACACGCTGGCTCTTAGTTAATAAATTCAGGAATTTTCGTGCCAAAAAGAAACTAGTTATTTGATTCTCACTTACGTCCAGCACCCCCACTGGATTGGTAAAAACATTGTTTTTTGAACCCATATTCTATAAATGATTATAGAATTTTATTTTTCTTATATTGCATGAGACAAATTGTGTCATGCAACACACAAGAAAGTGAGTGAAATTTATTTTTTTATGTTCTCTCTTTTTTATAGTGAGTCTCACCTGCTTTTTTTTGTGTTGTCTCATGCAACATAAAAAAAACAAAAGTCTTGATTATATATATAGTGAAAGAGGAAATCATTATGTAGGCAGAATCATCATATAAATCAGAGTCAATGATGATTGATTGGCCATTCTTTACATAGTAATAAGTGTCCTAAGCTTATCCGGGTTTTGGCCATTCTTCATAACTAAATTTAATATATGTCCTAGTCTGCAGTGATGACCACCCGTTGTACATGACAGTTACAAGATTACAGAGCATGATTAATAAAAAGCCTTGGAGAGTTATGTTTTCTCACATCTTCAGGGAAGGTAATGAAGTAGCAAATTGGTTGGCTGGAAATGTTAGCCATGGCTTTTGGGGGATTCAAGTTGTTGTTAATGTTACGGAGGGATGAAGGAATTCTGTTGAAAAGGATCTGCCGGGATTAGCTAATACGAGCATGATCCTTGGTTAGTCTATTTGTTTTTCTGCTTTTCCCTTAATTTCCAAAAAAATAAAAATAAAAAAGTTAATATCTTCCCTACCGCCACAATATCTCTGTCTCTCTCTCCCTGCTCCATTTTAGAAAATAGAAAACCCCACATATCGAAAGAGAACTTGATTCTTTCTTAACATTGTGCATTATTTAGGGGCCATGAGGGATTCGGAGAATCATTACGTAAAATGACTTCAATTGGATGCAGGCAAAGGCGTGACAATTTTAGCATTGGACCACATAACATGCCTTCATATTCTGTGAAGTGTTGGGTCGAGATGTGCTCGAAGTAATTGTGATACGGAGCAAGTATTATGTCCAGGGAACAAGTAAGGGGAATATTAGTCTCATATTACATGAGAGTAGTTCTCTCGTGCTATAGAGAGAATTCAAGTGGAGCCTATCATTAAAAAGCAAAAAAGAAAAAGATGTGATATTCGAAGTGAGAGAAAATAAGATAACTATCTCATGTAAAATGAGAATAGTATTTTCCAACAAGTAATCATGCATATACAGAGTAAATTTATCCAAGCTGTGCAAACGTATATACATCAAGTCATACTGGGGTTTGTCATGAGCCCTACATTATCGTTCTCGAGAAAAAGTTGTAAAAGTTGTCTTAAAAGAGTGTAAATAAGAAAAGTGACACTTGAGAGCAAAGAGAGAGTAAATAGAAACTCTTACCAAGGAACCAATTCATTCTAAGACTAAGGTTAGCCAAAAAGTATTTGTCACCAACTCGATTAAACAATGTCAATGAATTTGAAATGACTAAACCCTTAATCTTAATTGAACTTTGCCTTGAAATGAATTGGAAATTAATATTGGAATTGAGAGCAATGAACAGAAAGTAGAGAGAAATAGTTGGAAATCTGTAATATTGAGAGCAGTGACAAAAATAGAGAGCGAAAGAGGGAAACATTGTTTCTTCTTTTTTAGGGATATTCCAATCGGTTAATCACTTTGCGACTAGTCTGATTCGGGCAGGGTCTCGGGATTAAGGCTTTAAACCCCTCCCAAAGACGATACCAGTGATGATCGAACACATGCCCTCACCCCCACCTGCTCAGTTTTCTAGCGC